ATGTACTGAAAGATGAGATTTCATACTTATTTCCTACTCAACTTCTAGAAATTAGCATAAAGACTGATCAGTTTGGCATTAACACTATTCAGTGATCTAGTAATTTAGGATATGATAGAGTTCTTTAAAACTCTATTTTATGTGTTCCTAGTTACTGTATTTTTATTGGTTAATTCAGTTATCCTAAGGACTTCTGATATTGTAGTTATAGTCTGTTCAGCTAAAACATCTTTGCTGGTAGTCACAGCCTTTGTCAATCAGTATGATGTGCTTTTCTGTGCATGTTTATGTTTGTGACAGTCACTCACTTTGAGAAACCCTTAGTCTTGTAAAAATAAGCTATATTCTTAAAAAGGAAAGACACTGATTTAACAGATTGCTTTTTCAAAAAAAAGTATGTTTGTAGAGAACTGGATTTGTAGTTAATACTCAGAACATACTCACTGCTGAGACATTCCAAGACAACAGAGCAGACACTAAATCTATAGATACTCGCCCACTGTGGGCCGGGTTGTTTGGGAAGTACCTTATGTGCAGAAAGAGTTTATCCTGCTTCTTATAAATGAAAACTCAATTTGGAATTTGATCACAAGCAACATAAATCATCCTCTAATCAAAATGAGTATTTTCTGAAGAGCTATGGGAGGGTTTGCAGGATCAGCAAACAGTCTAGAGACCTAAATTCAAGAAGTCAAGAGAACAGGCAACTCCAGAGATCCAGGAAGCAAGAAATATTCAGTGCCTCTGAGGCTACCTCCAGTGATACCTGAGCTCCAACCATTTCCCCTTTGCCCACCTTCTGCTCAAGATTCCATTTCCCAGGTGGTAGTGTCTGGCTGATCTCATTAGGGTCACATTCCATCCTCTTGTATGAGAAGGGAGAGACATTGATTAACAATCCCAAAATACTATACTGAAAGAGAAGAGATAATTCATTGAAAAGGAAATGCAGTTGAAATCGACTGATCAACTAACAAATAATGAACAAATATTTGTTATGCAGAAGTGAAACTGGAACATAGAGTACAGCTAGAGAGGCATTAAGGTAAGGTGTGACACCTGCAGTCTGGTCAAGACTTTCATTTAGGGAAGCAGTGACAAGTAAGATTGTATGGACAGATCACAGACAGCCTTAAACACCAGACTGAGATTTGGACTTGGTTTTGGAGACAAGAGGCATTTACTACTTTCCAACAGGTAAATGACAAAAGAAAAGTATCCTGCAAACAGAAAACTGAACAGCAATATGCAAAGTGGATTAAAACAAATACAAAATTGATTAAAGCATGAAAAAAAAATTAGGCTCAGCCACAAAAGCCAGCTCAAATAATGATATTAAAGAACAGGTTTGTCTAATTGAACCCACTAGGATTAGGTGTGGCAGAAGATAGGTCCAAACTAAGAGAGTGAAAATAAAATAGTAGATTTGAAATTAACAGCGTCATTGAATGCATGCTGTGGGTTAAAGAAGAGACATGTGAGGGTCTCAGATAAGATTTGAGCTCATGTGTCTGAGATAATTATACTATTAATAGCAAAGAGAGACAAGTGAGAAATATTAGATGAAGTGAGAGAGTGAACTGTTTTTTTTTTTCTTTTGAAGATGTTTTAATTTCAAGGTACAATAGGACAGTTAATCAGATTAGCATAAGAGAAGTCAGACTCACTAGTTAAGGTCAATCTCAGAACTACAGCCATCTCAGAAATACAAATGAGTCCTTAGGACTGGTGAGATTTTAGAACAGGAGAATCTGTAAGGGTTAACTCGAGCAGAAGCCGCCTTAGAGAGTCCCAGCACTTGTGCCATACTGCCTTCCTTTGTTAAAGTGACACCACTTCCTGGAGCAAATAACTCCTTGATTCCAGTGATTGATTAGTAGCTGAGACTAAAACAATACATATGAAAAACTGTGGTTATGAGAGTTATTCAATTATGGAAGACTTGGAAATAGAAGACCCCTTTTAGAAAACTCCATTCATTAAAACATAAGGATTCAGATGTTAAATAAGTTTGGAATCATTTAAAAAGACACAAAATACCTCTCAAAGTAATTTTGAAGTTCTCAATAAAACTACCTTTACTTGGTGTCTGAAATTCATACAGTTTTTTATAATTTTTCTTTAATTTTTAGTTAACAAAGTCAGTGATTCGTAGATACAATTCTTTTTTTAAGATTTATTTATTTATTTACTTGAAAGAGTTACATAAAGGAGAGGCAAGGTGGGGGAGGGTCTTCCATCTGCTGGTTCACTCCCCAATTGACCACAGTGGCCAGAGCTGTACTTATCCGAAGCCAGAAGCCTCCTCTGGGTCCTCCACGTGGGTGCAGGGACCCAAGGATTTGGGCCCTTTTCTAATGCTTTTCCAGGCCACAGCAGAGAGCTGGATCAGAAGTGGAGCAGCCAAGTCTCGAACCAGTGCCCATATGGGATACCAGCACTGAAGGAGGTGGCTTTTAGCTGCTACGCCACAGTGCCGGCCCCTAGATAGAATTCTAAGAGCATAATGATATTTGCTTCCTCCCTCCCTCCCTTTCAACATCTTCCTTTTTCCCTTTATTCTTTTTTTTTTTAGTTTTTGAGATAATATTTTAAACTTACATTACAGTAAAAAGACTTAATACTTCACCAAATAAGTTTAACAATAAAAAGTGAAAAGACCTTAGTTTGGTGGGAATATAGACAGGGCTATAAAAAATAATTGAATGGAAAATAACCATTTCATCCATATGTAGTAATTTTAAAGTTGTCACAGATTGTTAAAACTATAGTAGTATATTCGTAACACTTGTTTTTTTATTTTTTTAAAGATTTATTTATTTAGGGGTTGTGCTGTGGTGTAGCTCTCTGCCATGGCCTGAGAAAGCAGTAGAAGATGGCCCAAGTCCTTGGGCCCCTGCACCCACATGGAGGCCCAGAAGAAGCTCCTAGCTCCTGGCTTCAGATCAGTCAAGCTCTGGTCGTTGCAGCCATTTTGGGAGTGAACCAGTAGATGGAAGACCCCTCTCAATCTGCCTTTCCTTCTCTCTCTCTCTGTAACTCTAACTTTCAAATAAATAAATCTTTTTAAAAGATTTAAATAGCCGGCGCCACGGCTCACTAGGCTAATCCTCCGCCTAGCGGCGCCAGCACACCGGGTTCTAGTCCCAGTTGGGGTGCCGGATTCTGTCCCGGTTGCCCCTCTTCCAGGCCAGCTCTCTGCTGTGGCCAGGGAGTGCAGTGGAGGAGGGCCCAGGTGCTTGGGCCCTGCACCCCATGGGAGACCAGGAGAAGCACCTGGCTCCTGCCATCGGATCAGCACGGTGTGCCGGCCGCAGCGCGCTGGCTGCGGCGGCCATTGGAGGGTGAACCAACGGCAAAGGAAGACCTTTCTCTCTGTCTCTCTCTCTCACTGTCCACTCTGCCTGTCAAAAAATAAAAAATAAAAAAAAAATAAATGATTTAAATAAATTTTAAAATTAAAAAACTTTAAAGATTTAAATCTTTTTAAAAGATTTATTTATTTATTTGAAAGAGTTACACAGAGAGGCACTGTGGGGACTCTGTGGTTACAGGAGAAGGTACAGGGTGTAGCTGGGTCTCTGGGCAATCAGTGGTTGTGGCTCCACACACTTGGAGCTCCTTGGTTGCCTAGAGCGTCTCATTGCAGTGGGAACTGTGCTCAAAGTGAGGACTGCACAGATCATTTGTAAGGTTCATGCAGTGGCATGGAACACATGGGGTCTAACACCTGGACATTGAGATCTACCACGCCCAACTTGGACTTTTTTTTTAAGGATTTATTTATTTATTTGCAAGTCAGAGTTAACACACAGAGAGAAGCAGAGGCAGAGGAAGAGAGAGAGGTCTTCCATCTACTGGTTCACTCCCCATTTGGCCACAGCAGCCAGCTGTGTCAATCTGAAGCCAGGAGCCAGGATCTTCTTCCAGGTCTCCTACATGGGTGCAGGGGCCCAAGGACTTGGCCCATCCTCCACTGCTTTTCCAGGCCATAACAGAGAGCTGGTTCAGAAGTGGAGCAGCCAGGACTCAAACCGGTGTCCATATGGGATGCCAGCACTGCAGGTGGCAGCTTTACCTGCTACGCCACAGTACCGGCCCCAACACTTGTTTGGACAAAGTTATGAAACAAAATTTTACAAAACTACATTTGCATCAACACTGATACAGACAGATATATTTTTCTTTCTTTTTTGTTCGTTTTTTAAATTTTAACTCCCACACATAAGGGAGAACATAAGTTATTTGTCTTTCTGGGTACAGCTTATTTCACTCAACATGATGACTTACAGGAGCATCCATTTTGTGGCAAATGGTAGAATTTCATTCTTTTTTAAATAACTGATTAATACTCCAATATGTATATATACAAGTTTCTTTATGTGTTCATCTGATGAGGGACACCTTGATTGGTTCTAAATTTTGGCTATTGTGGACTGTGTTGCTATAAACATGGTGGTGCCGGTATCTCTTTGATAAAATGTGTTCGTATCTTTTGTGTATATACCCAGAAATGAGATTGCTGGATCACATGGCAAGTCTGTTTCTAGTTTTTTTTTTTTTTTTTTTTTTTTTTTTTTTTTTTTTTGATTTTGTGGGAAAGGTGTAGTGGATAGAGAGAGAGAGAGAGAGACAGAGAGAAAGGTCTTCCTTTTGCCGTTGGTTCACCCTCCAATGGCCGCCGCGGCTGGCGCGCTGCGGCCGGCGCACCGCGCTGATCCGATGGCAGGAGCCAGGAGCCAGGTGCTTTTCCTGGTCTCCCCATGGGGTGCAGGGCCCAAGCACCTGGGCCATCCTCCACTGCACTCCCTGGCCACAGCAGAGGGCTGGCCTGGAAGAGGGGCAACCGGGACAGAATCCGGCGCCCCGACCGGGACTAGAACCCGGTGTGCCGGCGCCGCAAGGCGGAGGATTAGCCTAGTGAGCCACGGCGCCGGCCTGTTTCTAGTTTTTAAGAAAGCTCCAGGGCGCGAGGGCGGGGAGCGGCGCGGAAGCCGGGCCACATAAAGGAGCGGGCGGTGCGACGGGGGCGGCTCTTTCCTGGGTGGGGTTTATGAAGTCGTGGCCCGTTAGCAGGAAGCCGAGCAGTCGCCCCGACGCTAGAGAGGGACCCAATTCGAGTCCCCGAGCCCACGAGTCCTAGCGGTGTGTACTGCGTGCTCCGCGCTGCCCGACAGTTCCCAGCCAAACTTCGCCAACTCCGCCGCCTTTGCCGCCACCATGCCCAAGACGATCAGTGTGCGTGTGACCACCATGGATGCAGAGCTGGAGTTTGCCATCCAGCCCAACACCACTGGCAAGCAGCTGTTTGACCAGGTGGTGAAAACGATTGGCCTGAGGGAAGTGTGGTTCTTCGGTCTGCAGTATCAGGACACGAAGGGTTTCTCCACTTGGCTGAAGCTCAATAAGAAGGTGACTGCCCAGGATGTACGAAAGGAAAGTCCCTTGCTCTTCAAGTTCCGGGCCAAGTTCTACCCTGAGGATGTATCTGAAGAATTGATCCAGGACATCACCCAGCGCCTATTCTTCCTGCAAGTGAAGGAGGGTATTCTCATTGATGATATTTACTGCCCTCCTGAGACGGCTGTGCTGCTTGCCTCCTATGCTGTGCAGTCCAAGTATGGTGACTTCAATAAGGAGGTGCACAAGGCTGGCTATCTGGCTGGAGACAAGTTGCTGCCACAGAGAGTCCTGGAGCAGCACAAACTCAACAAAGACCAGTGGGAGGAGCGAATCCAGGTGTGGCATGAGGAACACCGGGGTATGCTCAGGGAGGATGCAGTCCTGGAATATCTGAAGATTGCTCAAGACCTGGAGATGTATGGAGTGAACTACTTCAGCATTAAGAACAAGAAGGGCTCAGAGCTGTGGCTGGGTGTGGATGCCCTGGGTCTCAACATCTATGAGCAGAATGACAGACTGACTCCCAAGATAGGCTTCCCTTGGAGTGAAATCAGAAACATCTCTTTCAACGATAAGAAGTTTGTCATCAAGCCCATTGACAAAAAAGCCCCGGACTTTGTCTTCTATGCACCCCGACTGAGGATTAACAAGCGAATCTTGGCCCTGTGCATGGGGAACCATGAGCTATACATGCGCCGCCGCAAGCCTGACACCATTGAAGTGCAGCAGATGAAGGCACAGGCCCGGGAGGAGAAGCACCAGAAGCAGATGGAACGTGCTCTACTGGAAAACGAGAAGAAGAAGCGTGAGATGGCAGAAAAGGAGAAGGAGAAGATTGAGCGGGAGAAGGAGGAACTGATGGAGAGGCTGAAGCAGATTGAGGAACAGACTAAGAAGGCTCAGCAAGAACTGGAAGAACAGACCCGCCGGGCCATGGAACTTGAGCAGGAACGGAAGCGTGCCCAGAGCGAGGCTGAAAAGCTGGCCAAGGAGCGTCAAGAAGCCGAAGAGGCCAAGGAGGCCCTGCTCCAGGCCTCTCGGGACCAGAAGAAGACCCAGGAACAGCTTGGCAATGGAGATGGCAGAACTGACAGCTCGGATCTCCCAGCTGGAAATGGCCCGGCAGAAGAAGGAGAGTGAGGCTGTGGAATGGCAGCAGAAGGCCCAGATGGTACAGGAAGACTTGGAGAAGACCCGTGCTGAGTTGAAGACTGCCATGAGTACACCTCATGTGGCAGAGCCTGCTGAGAACGAACAAGATGAGCAGGATGAGAATGGGGCAGAGGCCAGTGCTGACCTACGGGCTGATGCTATGGCCAAGGACTGCAGTGAGGAGGAACGTACCACTGAGGCAGAGAAGAATGAGCGTGTGCAGAAGCACCTAAAGGCCCTCACTTCAGAGCTGGCCAATGCCCGTGATGAGTCCAAGAAGACAGCCAATGACATGATCCATGCTGAGAAACATGCGACTCGGCCGAGACAAATACAAGACCTTGCGCCAGATCAGGCAGGGCAACACCAAGCAGCGCATTGATGAGTTTGAGTCCATGTAATGGATGCTCAGCCTCTAGGGACCCCTCCTCCCTCCTTCCTTGCCTCCACTCCTACACCCTCGCCTAACTCACACTGTGCTGGAGCCACTAACTAGAGCAGCCCTGGAGTTATGCCAAGCATTCAGTGCAGCCATGGGACCAAACCTAACTTTTCAGCCCCCATTCATTTCCGTGGGCAGACAAATGGCCCACTGTGGTGCCAATGGGACCTGCTTTCCCTTCTCTGTCCGACTTAATCTAGATCACTAGAATAGACCAGTTCCCCAGCTCAGAGGCACCTCCCACTTGCTCTGACAACCCCCCTCTCCCACCACACACACACTTGCTATTATGGGGGTGAAGTGTGGAGTAGGTTGAAAGCTAGCCTCCCTTCCCACCCCACCACTGTCTTCCACTTCCAGGTCCTGTGATTTGTAGGGTTGGAATGTCACAGGGTTTAGGGAAGGAGGCAGGGCCCTGACTATCTGCAGTAAGATGTCAACTGACCTAGGATTTGGCCTGCGAAGGCCACTGCCTTTTAGAGTTATATAGGCTTTGTACTGATTGGAGGATAAAGAGATGTTCAGTCATTCTTGTTTCTACCTCCCAGATTGGGCCTGTTACAAACTCAGTCCCAATAAGCCTTGTCCCTGAGTTTAGGGACTCAGTTTCTCCCCAGGGTGGGCTGGGGGAGACAGTGCCTTCAAGAGACTTTACTATCATCCTAGAAGACCATCAGCCCTTCTGTTCAGGCAAGGCTGGGTAGGAGATCCTTCCCCAATGCCTTATGTGAGCCTAGGCCTGTCTTGAGTGAGCTCTAAGGGCAGAGGTACCCTTTACTTATTATTCCAGGTCCCTGGTCCCTTCTCTGGATCTGCTCCTGCCTCCTTCAATCCCCAAATCCCCTCCAGCTAAAACAGAAGGGATGAGTACCCAAAAGTCCAACTAGCCTCACCCAGGACTCTTGCCAAAACAAACAAACAAAAACAAAACAAAAACAGAGGAAATGTACATACCTGGCTTCAGTATTTCCCCTGCGAGGGATCCTAGGCCACTTCCAGAGATACTTGGGTCCCAGCTCCTGTTTCACAGCCGTCCAGGCCTTGGTATGGTGAGCCCTAGAGCTTGATGCCAGTAAGCTCCATTGCAGAGCGGGTGCAAGAATATGAGGGTGGTGAGAGAACCTGTGCTTCTGGGCTCACAGTTTACTCAACCCTCTCAGGTGCCCAACAGCCCCTTCCCTTCACCCCTCTCCTAGGTGGTGACTTGGGCTCTGCCTCTGTTTGACAAACCTCTGACCCAGGTCTTGCCACCAGCTGAGCTGTTCCATGGAGCTATAAACCAGAGAGCTGCTGGGGATTCTGGCCTGATCCCTTGGCACTACCCCACCCCTTGCTCTCAACCCTGGAGTAGCCTCCTCCTCCTCCTCTCTGTCTCATGAATGCTCTTTTTCTTTCCCACCAGTATTATATATATTCTAGTGATATCTAACTCAGTATTGATTTCTGCCTTTTTTGCTAATGCACCATTAGAAGCTATTAGTCTTGGGGCAGGATCATTTTGGCCTCATTCCTTTACCACCACCCCCACACACACCTGGGAAGCATATACTATATTATAAAGGATATTTTGCCAGAAATGTTCATGTAAGGAGCTTTCAGTATTAGTGATGTTACCTGTCACTATAGGTCATACAATCAATTCTTCAAGTACTTGGTATCTGGTTTTATTTTTCCTATTTGCCTTCTCCCCAGGGTTTAGTCCTTCCATGCAGTGCCCCTAGCCCAGAGCCTCCCTTGATAATCCCTCTCTTGCCTGACCTTGGGGAGTCTTGTGTGCATTGCTGTGAATTATATTGACACTCACTTGGTAATATGCCCTATATTGACTAAATTCAAACCTGTAATTGTGGGACAATCTAGCTGCCTCAGTGGCAGTAACCCACCCCCAGGGAGGCTGGGGAGAAAGGTTAGATTTTGTATTCAGGTTTTTTGTGTGTATTTTTTGGGTTTTTTTAAAAAAATGTTTTTGGAGGGGTTTATGCTCAACCCATGTTCTATTTCAGTGCCAATAAAATTTAGGAAGACAAAAAAAAAAAAAAAAGAAAAGAAAAAGAAAGCTCCACACCGTTTTCCACAGTGGCTGCACTAATTTACATTTCCACTAATACTGTATAAGAGTTCCTCTTTGCCCACATCCTTGCCAACATTTGTTACTCTCTGTGTTTTGGATTTTAGCCATTCTGAAGGGGTGAGGTGATATGGCATTTGATTTGCATTTCCCTGATGACTAGTGATGTTGAGCATTTTTTTCATGTATTTGTTGGCTATTTGTATTTCTCCTTTTCAGAACTGTCTATTGAAGTCCTTTGCCCATTTCTCAACTGAATTATTTATTTTTTAGTTTTTAAGTTGCTGATACATTTTATTTTTTTCCCATTCTGTTGGATGTCTCCTCACTTGACTGATTATTTCCTGTACTGTGCAAAAGATTCTGGGTTTGATTAGTCCCATTTGTTTAGTTTTGCTTTTGTTTTCTGTGCATTGAGGGCCTTCTTCAAGAAGTCATCCCCTATAGCAATGTCTTGGAGTGTTTCCCCTACATTTTCTCCAGAAACTTCATAGTTTCAGGTTGCAAATTTAGGTCTTTGATCCGTCCTGAATTGAAATTTATACATGGTGAGAGGTCTAGATCTAATTTTATTCTTCAAAATATATACATCCAGTTTTGCCAGTACCATTACTGAAAAGATTATCTCTAGTCCACTATATAATCTGAGCACTTTTGTCAGAAATCAATTGGATGTCAGTACATGGATTAATTTCTGGGCTCTCTATTCTGTTCCATCTGTATCAGTTTTTATGCCAGTATCAAGCTGCTTTAATTACTATAGCTTTGTAGTATGCTTTGAAATCAGGTATTATGATGCCTGCAGCTGGTTTTTCTTGCTCAGGATTACTTTGGCTATTCAGAGTCTTTTGTGATTCTATATGAATTTCAGGATTGTGTTTTCTAATTCTGTAAAGAATGCCACTGGTATTTTGATAGGGATTGCTTTGAATATATAAACTGTTTTAGGTAGTAGATGCTTTAATGATATTGATCCAATCTATGAACAAGGAATAGCTTTCCAAATTTTTTGTGTCCTTGATGATTTCTTTCATCAGTGTTTGGTAATTTTTATTGTAGAGATCTTTCAGTTCTTTGGTTAAATTTATTCCTAAATATTTGGGGGTTTTGTGGCTGTTGTAATTGGGATTTCTTTCTTGATTTCTCTTCTTGTGAGCTCATCTTTAGCATAAGAAAAGCTACTGAGGTTTTGTTTTTTATGTTTATTTTGTAACATGCAACTTCACTGAATTGGATTATCAATTCTACCAGCTTTTTGGTGGAATGTTTAGGTTTTTCTGTGTATCACATCATGTCATCTGCAAACAGATAATTTGACTTCCTCTTTTCTACTTGTGATGCCTTTTATTCTTTCTCCCTAGTTACTCTTGCTAAAACTTCCAGTACTAGATTGAATAATAGTTGTAAAAGTAGGTATCCTTGTCCTATTCCAGATCTGAAAGGAAATTCTTTCATCTTTTTCCCATTCAGTATGATATTGGCTGTTGGTCTTTGACTCTATAGCCTTTATAATTTTGAGGAATATTCCTTCTGTACCTAATTTGTGGAGGGTTTTTGTCATGAAGGGTGTTGAATCTCATCAAATGCTTTTTGTTCTTCATTCTATTGATGTGACTTTATGATGTTTTTTGATGTACAAATGTTGAACCACTCTAGCATTTCTGGGATAAATACCACTTGATCCTGATGTATGATCATTTTGATGTGGTTTTGGATTTGATTTGCTACCATTTTGTTGAAAATCTTTGCATCTATGTTCATTAAGGATATAGGTCTGTACAGTTATTTTTAAAGGAATGGCTCAAACTTATGTAACACTGTTTTTTTCAACTTTAAATCAAAGTATTGTCATGTCACTTTCTTTCCTAGACTTTTTTCTCCCTCCCTGCCTATGAAAGGGTTTCGTATTGAGCACAGTGTCTAAGAGGTTTGCTGAAAGTACAATGTGATGGTTTTCAGCAAGTAGTTCCTGCTGTGTGGCTCTCAGCATGAGCTGTCTTAACGAATACAGAGGCAGAGCAAATACAGTTTTCTTTTTACAACTTATTCTGTACTGTGCTGAAATCGATTTTTAGAGAAAAACTACCCAATTGCCAAACAGTGGCTAACTGCATGTCATTTCACTGCTGACTATGTCTCCTGCAGTTGTTAGCAGTAGGTTTGATCTCTGCGTTAAAACGAAGTGTACCTACAGAGGAACATATGTTATCTTTTCTCTCCATTAAGTATTCATGATGACTCCTTCTTGCACTATAAACCAACCACAATTCCATTAATGGGGGTGGAAGTGGAGGAATAACATTTGAAATTTGTGCAAGTTTCTCCAGATACTCCTTCTGTCCATTCTAGTCTCTAGGAGTGTTTATGGGGATATACTGAGACTACATTTTATATTTTATTTGAACAGTGCAGAGGTCACATTTAATGCTAAATAACGACAAGGACAATAATAAGATTGCTTCTTTCTTCATTAGGTCCTTAGCATATCAACAGACCACAGGACATCCTCAATTGAAGGGGGGTAATTAAGGTTATCACATTTATACAATTTGTAAATTTTTTTAACCTTAGAGAAGGTAGACTTGAAGAGTATACCTGAGTTGGCATCAGGGAAATAGCAGTCAGGGAGATTACTTAGAATACTTCCTAATTTTCAGTTCACAGCTATATTCTTTATGTAATTTTATGTTCATGGAAATGCTGTGATAAAGGTCGGGACATTCATTCACCATCGATCCATTGAATATTTGTTGAGTATCTATTATGGGCCAGTCCCTATTCTAGCAGTGGCAGTATAGCAGTGACCTAAACATGTTAAGATCCTTGGTCTCCAAGTAAACAAATCTGTGAAATGAGATATGAAGAAAGAGTAGGGTAATATGATAGAGATGGAGGAGCTGAATACTCAAGTGAGTGGTATAGGAAGGTGTGTCTAAGGAGGTTGTATTTGAGTTGAGATGTGAAAGATGAAAATAATCCAGCTCCATGAAAACCTAGTGATAGAGAATTTAAAGTAGATAGTAAAAGTGACTCCTGAAGAAGTTAGATAGCTTGCCTAAAGTGCCACCGCGAGACAGCAGCACAGCACAGCTTAGAGCTGCATGGCTCTTTTATTAACAGGCTTATGTTATTTCAGAGTCTAGGTTTCTATAACTTTCAATTTATTTCTTATCTTCTCAAAGGAATTGTTGTGTTTAAGCCTCACTTAGAATAAATGGTAGGATATATATATATATATATATATATATATATATATATATCAAGAGAATGAAGCTCTTGGTGATTACACACCTCGTTTCACTGGAGACATTACCTTCTGGTCATTATGGAATACTCCCAAAGCTTTGCAGGAGTCCTTCATTTTTAGTGGCTATCAACAGGATTTTCATTTACTTTTTAATTCATTTTCTTTTTAAGAAAGCAAAATTAATGTTATTGTGTAAATGTATCATAGCAATTAACTCGTGTCTATAAGGAATTTCCAAGAAATGTAGAAGTGAGGCAGTGTTCTCAGCAAAAGAAATCGGGCTGTTAAGCCTTATATTCTCACTTTTTTCTTTTCTTTTTACCTTGCTATACTGTTTTAATGTCTTCTCTTCTCTACTTTGTTCTCTAATGGCATCTGTGAAGTAAACTTAAAGCAATAACAAATTGAACACATCTGGAATGATTTCTTAAAATTGATAAATGGATACAAAGAGCCTTTATTGAAAAAGTTACATATTTAAATACTTAGAATTATGTCACTTCCTTCCAAATAATGAGATATTTTTCGTTGCAATATCAGCCATGAAAAACTACCATTTGAATATATGAGATTTCTTTTAATTACCTAATTTCTGTTTTCCCTACCATTTCTTTCTCTCACTAAAGGATCTCAAACTTGAACCACTAGAAGAAGAAGTTATTGAAGGAAACACTAAATCTGTAAGTCCTTTTCCTAGATCAAAATTTCAGATTTGAAATCAATACTGATTTTTTTCAAAAATTACTACTCAGTGAAAATTTGAAAAGCTAATAAATTGACATATGTCATTTTGTATGAATAAGCAGTGTTTTCTAAATTGTGATTTGTGGAAACTAATATTTCGCAGGATATTTTTGGTGAAAGCACCTTCCATGTGATGGTAGGTGCAAAATGAATATGTTATGCATGTATAAATCAGTTATTGAATAATAGAACGAATACAGCTGGCAAAGAAGGACAGCATTCAAATCATATCATGAATACATTTTATAAATTCCACCAGGTTGAATACTGTTTGTACCTGAGCTGAAACCTACTTGTCTTCACTGTTGTATTTCCAGCATTTAGCCTATAACCAGTCACATTGTCAATGGTCTGAAATAATTTCTCAGTAAATTCATGTGTAGGAAAAAGGGAACTTTTATATCCATAAGGAAAAGCTGTCCATCCAGAGTGGTGACAACTTGTGGAACAAATTCTGCATCAGAAAGCAAACTAAATGGAAAAGATGATCCTAATAGGTAGACTAAGATGCAGCAAAAAGAAATCAGTGAGTAAATTAACTGAAAAGCAACACATACCATGCTTGATTATTTTACTTTATCTTTAAGCAAATATTTACAAAATACATTCTGATTCTAGATGTTGGATGTCTGCATTTACATTTAATGGAGAACAGATTTTAAAATCTAGAGTAACTAGAAAATCACATTTTTCTTGAAACCTTAAATGTATTAGGTTAATTAATATGTGTTAAGTTATAGTTAGATAGGAGAAGTTCTGATGTTTTGTTGTACAGTATGGTAACTAGATGATGACATTATGCCCTGTTCCCTTAATGGCCACTGAACTCTATTTTGAAAAGCTCAAGGTTGCTTTCATTGTGATTTTTCCTTTTATTTGCACATTCAAAAGGTATTGAATACATGTTAGAAGGTGAGATCTACTAGTGTGTTAAGGCTCTGTCCATCTATCCAAATTAATAACACAAAAGGGGTCTTCAGAGGAATCTTTGGGGCTTCTGTAAAAATGTTTAATAATGGTTGCTTCTATTAGAATCCTATAGATATGCTTACTTTCCCCTGAAATAAGCTATCTTTCTCGCTCTTTTTTTATCCCTCCAAAGACAGGGATGTGGTCTATGTTAATTCATCAGGAACCCAGAATTTGAAAGTGACAGCCTGTGGCAGGAAGGTTAGAGGAAAGGGGTATTGAATACATATCCTAGGAAAAGCAACTTTGTGCAGTCCCATGGGCATGGGAATCGTTACTCTTGTGATCATGCATCTGCTATCATCTCAATTTTATGTGTAGGGAAAACTACACTCCAGTCAAGAAAAACGAACATAACTTTCCTAAGCTTAGGCAATATAATGGTCTCTTCTTAAAGAAAAAAAAAAACTTCCAAAAGTGAGACTATTTTCTTCCTCTGGCCATGAGGGATAAAAATCATCTAAGGATTGTGTATGAGAGATGGCAACTATTCCATTTGCTAGGGCCCTACACAGAGAGAAGGTGGCATCAACTCCAATTCTAAAAGATGAACACATACAACATTACTAATAGTGCACAGAAGTGCTTTAAAGAAAATACAACTGTGCAAAGTGGTTCAGCTGTCAAAAAGCAGTAAAGGTATTTCTTAACTATTTTCCACTGTATGTAGGGGCAAAATAATGAGCTGTTTAGGAACAGACAATTAATTTTGTTTTAACTGCTTTATTTTTTATAAATACCAATAAATTACTTATATTTTGCATTAAAAGCTTCATTTTTTCAGTAGTGGCAGTATATGAATTACTATCAATTCCTATAAAAACTCTATATTCAGAGTGGCCAGATCATTTTTCACTGTTGTTTCATACCTACTTCTCATGATTGTATCCAACTGCATATTCAATGATTTATCCTAGTTCCCAAAAACAGTTTTAGAATTCATTGATTGGAAAGGTAGTTTTCCTTTTTCGTTAATCAGTGCATGAGAAATTTGAAAAACAAATTCTGTATCAGAAAGCAAAGAAAAAATTTGCAATATGTTTTGTTTCTGTGTGGGTGCAAACTGATGAAATGTTTACTTAATATATACTAAATCTATCTTCTGTATATAAAGATAATTGAAAATGTTATTTCAAAAACTAATCGTTACTAAGCCTTGGCTATGTGCCAGGCACTTTATTATCTACACATCTACCTCACTTAATTCTCACAGTACCATCTGAGGTGATGCTATCATTAAACAAATTTTACAGATTAAAAAATTAAGGTGTACAGAGGTTTAACTACCACGACTGAGTACCAGTGTTCAACACCAGTCATATACCCATCATCACATTGTACCACTTCCAACTGTGGTGTTTGCTGAATTTATGACCACTACAGGAGAGTTGCTATATGCTAGCAAGGTGGTAAACAAATAGATGATTCCTTCATGGGATTTTATACCATGAACGCAGAGCACATTACTTGGTCGACTTGTTGAGGCACACAGCAAAGGTACTGAACCCTAGCAGCTGCCCTGTCTTGTTTTCTGGGCAATTATTACGTAATGAGCTTAGGATGTGATTTCTTTTTTCTAGTCCATTTTTCCCCTCAGCCCAGAGTAACAGAGTAACACTTATTGAGTATCTTTCAAGTATTGTATATCTTTATATACACCATTCTACCTCATCCTTCCCAAAACTCTGTGATATAAGTACCACTATTCTAGTTTAATGTTTCAGAAAATATAAAACGAGAAAAAATTTGAAGGACACACAGTGAAAGTAAAGCCAATTTTTAATTTGTATCCCCTCTTCTTGAAGCAGAAAGAAGAAAGGAAAGTGAAGACAAAGATAATGGAGATACATTTTAACAAGAGAACACATCAATTAAGCAGAGCTTTAGAATTTTCCAGGTCACCTCAATTCCTCTTTTGGAATGAATAAACAAAATGACCAAAAGCAAGGCATCTTTTATTCATTTGTTTCACAAATAATGTGATTACTAACTATGTGTCAAGCCCAGAGGGAGGGATTAGGGATAAAATGAAGAATATTAAAGGCTAGAAAATAGACTAGGAGAGGCCGATACTGTGGCATAGCAGGTAAAAGCTGCTGCCTGCAGTGCCGGCATCCCATATGGGCACAGTTCTAGTCCTGACTGCTCCACTTCCAACACAACTCTGCGATGGCCTGGGAAAGCAGTAGAGGATGGGCCAAGTCCTTGGGCCCCTGTACCTATGTGGGAGACCCAGAAGAAGCTCCTGGCTCCTGGCTTCAGATCAGCCCCGCTCTGGCCATTGCAGCCATTTGGGGAGTGAACCAGCGGATAGAATGCATTCATTCATTCATTCTCTCTCCCTCTCTCACTCTCTCCTCCCCCCCCTTTCTCTCTCCATCTCTCTACTTCCCTCTTTTCCTCCCTTTCTCTGTTTAACTCCTTCAAATAAATAAATCTTTAAAAAAAAAAAAAAGACTAGGAGGAAACACAAACATAAGCAATGAAACCAGGATCCTCAGTAAAATGGGATATGAATATTGTTATAGGAAACGATTTGCCCAACTAGGGACAACGACCTAATTAAGGGATCCAGGTAATGCTTGCAGAATGATATATTATTTAAGATAAAACCAAAAAGAATACATAGAAGTTTTAAAAAGTATATGGATTTCTTACCACATTGAAGTAGTCTAACATTACACTGAGGTACTCCCCAGCAGTATTAAAATGTTCCAAATTATTTATAACAAGCATGTTATAAAGACAGCAACCCTGAGAACTTACCATTTCCTTCTTGCTATAATAAAATAGAGAATAAATGTACTTCAGAGATCTACCCAGATCTAAAGTCCAAGACCATGTCTTTACGACTCATTGGAAATGTGAGGATAATTTATTGTCTTCTAGCTGTCAAGTGCTCAGCAGTTGTGTGAATCATTGAAAGGTCAATATAATTTTTAAAGGAATCTCTCCAACTGAGCCACACATCCTGAGTCTGATCCTGAGTTCTGTTGATCTACCTGAAGCCCTTTTGCCTAGTGCCATTGTGTGCCTTGCATGACACTTTACCTAAGGATTACTGGAAGAAGAATATTTACTTTCCAGATGTTTTCTACATTCAAAATAAGCTTAAATGGCAGGATAATTTTTAAAAAAGGCTTGTGCACATTTTTGTGGTTTTTAAAAACTGTAACTTCTTCACATTGTTTCTGTATATGTTAAAATAGATTATGCCATAGGTAAAAACCTAATATATTTTGTCCCTCTAACTCATTAAACCTATGAATCATGTACTTTTAAATGTTTTATTTTCACTTTACTCAAAAGGCAGAGAGAGGGACAGAAAGAGAGAAAGGGGTAGAGAGAGAGGTTGATCTTCCATGCTAGTTCACAACCCAAATGTCTGCAACAGGCAGGACTAAGGGTAGGCCTAAGCCAGGAGCCTGGAATCCAGCCTGAATCTCTCATATGGGTTTCCAAGATCAAAGTACTTGTGCCATAACCTGCTGCCTTCCTAGGATGCATGTTATCAGGAAGCTGGAATCAGAATGAGAGCCAGAACTGGGACCCGGGCACGCTAATGTGATGTGTAGGCATCCCAAGTGGCATCTTAACCACTGAGCTAAACGCTCACCCCTAAAAATTATTTTTGAAGTAAATCAATTACACCATTATATTATTAAATGTTTGGTGGGGGGCTATTACCAACTAATGTGTCAGAGATTGTCAAAACATAGTCTTGCTTTGTGATACCTGTTAAGAGATTCAATGAAAGCACACGTGAAAGCCTATGCTGTCTCTGAAGGCATACCTGGAACATGTAAATGCAGGAAATCCAGATAACATGAAGCAACTTGCATTTAAAACATGTTTCTGTCTGCCAAGAGTTAAAAACATCGACATTTCTTTGTCTTGGGAAATCAACGGCAGATTAATCACTAGCAAATACTGTTGTAATAAACTCAGGTTATCTCATACATACATGTCACTTTTCAGCCCAAGAAATTCCAAATATTCCACCACAGATCTATTGTCACAAAATTTTTGTGTCTTCCACAGTAGAGAAACAAAAATTAGCACTAGAAAGAATATTTCTACCATGAAAAAATACTCTGAACTAACTGTTCTCACCTTGGAACCCAGGATTTCAGTAAAGTTTCAGGCCATTTAACACACTAGATATATAAACAAATAGTAGGACTTCTTTACCCTCTCCCAGCCCCATACCCCACAATTTGCCTTGACTTGGCCAACAAAGAAAATTTAAAATGTTTTCTTTGGACATCAGTTTTAAATTACCCATGATTCAAAAAGCTTCACTTTTCAAAATAATCATCAGACTTAAGTAGATTATCTGGGCCTCATAAACTGATTTCTTTGTGTAAATGTCTGAGCAAAGTAGGGGAAAGGTATGTATTGTTTGGGTTGCAAAATAAAATCTAGGAACCAAGAAGTTTAACTTTTCCAAATCATACTCATATCAATAATTCTAAGTGAAGAGTAGATTAACTTACATGTAGCTATTACTAGATGGCAATGTAAGTGTAAGCCATTGCTATATAACAAACCATTCCAAAATTTAGAGGCCTAAAGCAATTACTACAACTTTGTAGTTTGGCAATTTAGGCTGGTTCTGTGGTCTCGGATGGCCTGTTAGTCAGCTGCATGTCAGTTTGTTGATTTTGGCTTTCTCATATCTCTAAGGCCTCAGCTATGCCCTATGTGGTCTTTAATTCTCCACTACAGAAGCTGACAAAATACAGCCTACCATCTGTTTTTGTGCAAAAACTTTATTGTGACATAGCCACACCCATCTGCTTACATATGGTTTACAGCTGCTCTCACACTGTAGCAGCAGAGATGGGATAGCTGCAACAGAAATCTTGTGGCACACAAGGCATAAAATATTTTTTATCTCCATTTATAGAAAAAGTTGCCTGACTCCTGCTCTAGCAGATCTTGTTCACATGACAATCTCAGAGTAGAAAAATCACAGGACTCTTGGGGCCTAACCTTAAATTGGCATGCACTCAGTTTTGCCACATTGTGTTGGCCAAAGCAAGTTAGACGGCCACAGGGGAAGGAAGTAGATTCTGTTGTAAAACTGGGAGCTGAAAAATCACACTTCAAAGGGCATGGGTTCAGGGAGTGGTGAATGGTTCTGGTCTAGTTTTCCATGCATTCCACTGGACCATGAAAGAGTTGCCTTCAGACTAAAAGATTAATTATGAACTAGCTGGATATATTTACATATCTCAGTAGGAAAGACAATGAGAATCATTTGAGTCATTGTTTATCACAAATGCCTGACCAAGAAATTCCTGCATATATCTCTGTGAAAACGACATGCCTATTATTTTGTCAGATTAATTTTAATTCTACTTAGTTATTAATATTAAAATTTGGTGCCAGGGAGAGTCACAAAAGGGGCTAATTATTTAGCACAAAAACTTATGAAATAATTAGAGACTTGCATCTACTGATTCCTGATCCCTGTGTCCAGAAAAGAAATAAAAGAAAGCTTAATTAAAAGTATTGAGCTTATTAAGTGGTCTAGACTGTGGAAACATATCCCAAAATATAGAATGCTTCCAGAACAATAAAATTCTGGGTTTTTCCCAGTAAACATCCCAGTGACTCAAGGCCACAGGTTCCTGACATCTGTAGTTCTGGCATCCTTTGCGTGGTCTCTATCCGACCAACATAAGTGGGAAAGAGGATATGGGGAATTCACTTTGTTCTTAAAAGCCTTGGCACAACAGTGCCACCCAATACTTCTGCTCATATTCTCTTCCTGAGAACTCAGCAATTAGTTACACCAAATTTCAAAGGAAGGTGGGATAGAGTCTTAGCCGTGTATCTAGAAAGAAAAGCTTGGAGTGCAGCTTGGAGTTTCTGCTTAGAGTCCACCTTCTTGTCATCAAATATTCATTTATATCCTTGTTTCCACATATATAACACACAGATAGACATCTCCACAAGAGAAATCACCCCAAGTTTCTTCCTGTTACTGATTCTAGCTCAAAATCTAGGATCTGTGGATTATGCTTGGTCCTATAAGTTCAGGATGTAGTCCCTTATGGTCCCACAAATTTTTTGAAGATCAAGGAAAGTTATTTCCCTCAACACACACACACACACACACACACATGATAAAACTGGGCCAGGATGAATGCCACAAAAACAGCCATTCAGAATAGGGGTGACTGGGGAAACACATAACATTTACGGGTTGATTGCAACACCAAATTCATGCTGAGAAAGTATATTTCAATGAAGGCAGTTCTGATTAGACACTGGATTTCTATTCTGGGAGGAATCCTGTCCATTGTTCTTTTGAAAGATTGTTCTGGATCCATTATCCACCATGACATTTGAAAGCCCACTGGAGAGAATTACCATCTTGGGGAGCTGTGTAGTATTCATAGCCTGCTTCCTGCTCGTGTAAGTTCGTGGCCCAAACTTCATTTTAAAGCTTAGACAGTCATAGGATTTTAAGACTTGGGTCAAGATTTTCTTTGGCAATACAATTTTCTGAAAAATTTAGTAGACTTAAGATCAACTTACAATTAGTCAGTTTCAGGTGCCAGTACTATAACTAATGTCATTACCTAGACATAGTTTTCAAATTTTTTTTCTTTACTAAGCCCTATGAAGACAAGAATTCTATCTTCATCCATCAGATGTACCCATATATATCACATATCAAGTATTTACTGGGTATAAAATAGGAACATTTATTAAACATATGGAGTGCCTAACACAATCTGTATAGTGCACTGGTGTTCACTGAATAGAAGCTACTTGTTTTCTTCATATTCTGCATTACGCTTACATTGTTTTGTTTGTACTTTCCTAGCAATCCTTTATATGTATTTGCACTTCTACAATTTCTCTCTCCCAGTATTTGAAGAAAATAAAAGGACTAATGGTGACATCTAAAATTCCATGAGATTCCCCCAAGCAGAGATTCATGCATATCTTCAAGCTACAGTTTCTGGAAGGGCAATAAGATTTGTGACAGTGAGCCATTTCCATCCAACTCAGTGCAGTCCATTAAACATGGGCTCATTGAATGCTATGACATCTTGAATGAGGTCAATCCTAAGTGGTCAACATGTTTTCAGAACCTCTTAATAGTTGACTGGCCTTCAGACATGCATCAGTGGGCATACAGTTTTTGAAATCTGATTGTAATGACTGTCACTATGTGTTTAACATCACAGAATATCCCAGGAAAGGCTGGTGCTACACAGTGGACAGTAGGACTTCTCTTAAGAAAAAAAAAAAGTCTGGTAAATGACTCAAGTGCAGTGGTCACTTCCTGGCTGCACATTAGAAACACTTAGGGATGATTTTAAAATACCACTGCCTGGGCCCCACTCCCAGAAATTCTGATCTGAATGTAATTTTAAAACCTCCTCACTGAATCTAATTGAGAAGCACTGCTTTTAAATTGAAGGGAAGTGCGTCATTGTGAAAGTCACTTTCGTTAGCTTCTGTTATGAAAGACAAAAAAAAAAATCCTGTCTTTATTACAGCTTTTATGCAGTTCTATACTTGGAATAGTCATGGCCTTCCTTGGTCACATTGTATGGATGATAATTGTTTGTTTAAGAGATGGGATGGGCAGTAGAGGTCAGCTTAAATGAGGCTCATGACAGCCAGTGCAGTAACCCTTGCCCCTTCCTTGGCAGCACATCATGCTGGTGCAGCGTCAGATGTCGGTGATAGAAGAGGATTTGGAAGAATTCCAGCTTGCCCTGAAACACTACGTGGAGAGTGCTTCCTCCCAGAGTGGATGCCTGCGGTGAGTGACCCTGCACAGGCACTGCAGCCACCAACTAGCTGGGGGTGAAGGCCTTTCCTTCCTTAGATAAGGGTTGGGATCTGGAAGCCCAGATTTTGAGAAGCCTCCCGGTAAATGATGCTTGGCATTGCAGCTCTCTGGGTGATGCATTTGCAGTTTTACTAGACATTTTCTCTGTGATCTTTGGACCGTGTCGATTTGATCATTATGGGCACCAAGGGCCATAAAATGGAGAGAACAACTTGAATGAGGAGTTTCAACTAGATTAAAACTTCCCTGTGTGCATCCAGGCAGCCAACCCCCGATTTAAAGTTGCGTTTGGTAGATGAGGCCTCAGCTCCAGCCATCTAGCTGTGATTGCTCCCTTGGTAGCACACTCCATGGCCTGATGACCATTCTGGCCATTATGAAATTGTAAGGATCTCAAGTCATGATATCAAACCCTAGCCATTAAAGACAGAGGAAGAGGGAAGAATGAGTGGAAGAGGAAGGGAGAAGAGGTAGAGGAGTTCCTTTTTCTAAGGCTACCTCCCAGCCTAGGCTCCTATCATCCCTGGCTATTAAGGTATTCTAAGTATTTCTCATTGCCAGTTTTTCTACTCCAACCAGTCTAATAACAGCTCCTAGAATAATTTTCCAGAAATAAATATCATAAAATTCCCCCATCAGGAACCTTCAGTAACTCTCTAATGAGAATCTTTCCAATGCCAAATGTGGATCCTGATGCTTATCCTAGCAACAGACCCAAGCATCCCTATCACTACTATCACTTGTTCTCCCTCCCCTGAACACTCCAGCTTAGCTATGCATAGCTGCCTGTTCATTAACTTCCTCAAGCCTACCACTGTGGTGCCTTAGACCTGGTCACTCTCCCTCTCAGAAAAGGACACCTTCTCTCTGCCAGCTCATACTCTGCCTCAGGTCCAAAGCCTGCCAAACCCATCTACTTGCAGAAAATTTCCACAACCATCATTACTTCTACCTTGGGAGATGATTTAAACTGCATTTCATGTTACTCTACAAATACTGCTTTGGGAAAGCTTTGTATCAGAGGTAGGTAGGTGTGTGTGTGTGTGTGTGTGTGTGTCAATACATGTGCATATAAAAAGCACACACTTTGTTTCTGAGTGCACAGCTTTTCCTCTGAGTGAGTGATTGTACTTATTCACACTCCAGCAGAATACTTCTCTAGCTAAGAAACCTTGCTATGGGATTTTACTAATTGTGAGGTTTCAGGAAAGATCCTTACTGGCTCAAATCCTCAGTTTCCTCCCCAAGAACTCTCTAAGATGGTTGTGGGGACTGACTGATAGTCCATGTGAGGGGTTCAGCACAGTGCCTCCCGTCCACTGAAGACCATGAAACATGGGCAGTGGTCACTCTTGCATTTGCCATTACTTCCTTGCAGTCTGGTTGGCTAGCTACCTATCTATAGAGTATAAGTACCTAGTGCCACTGACAGCTCATCATCTGTCTGGTGGCGCTTTGTGACAGGAACACAGGAAATGCTTTGCTTCTATTATTATTCTACTTCTTGACATCCTCAGGAAAAAAAGTTTTTAGTGCTTTTAGTTCCGTGATTCAAGGGAAATTTGCCGAGGTGGGAATACATATAGTTTTAAGAAGGCTTATTTAAAATTAAAATTGAACATTTGGGCAATTCAAAGGGAACCTATATATAACTTCCACAGTATAAACCACAAAAGTAGAGCTCAGTAAACAATCATTTTGGTTAGTGATGATGTAATGAAGGTAAAATCCGTTCAAGTTTATCACAGTCTCCAGAGATTGATGTTATATGTTTATAAAAAGGGCACGTAAGTTTATTTTTTAAGGTTCAGAAACATTGATACAATGGCTGTTGGGAAAAATAACCTGATTCTCCTATAATAGCCCCAGGGAGAGGAGCAAGAGGTGGTGGGAGGTAAGAGTAGATAGATTTGTTCTGCCTGCTGCGAACTCTGTCCTCTCACTAACCATGAAACATTGTTCTGTCAGCCCCTGCCATGAAGAATGAGGAAGGAGAGTAGACTTTTCCTGTCAGATGGAGGCTCTCAGCCTCTCCCGTTCCTTTAGATGACTGGTTTCTTAGTGTTTCTTCATTTACTTCTGCTTGGTGACTCTTTAGCTAATTTGTCCTATGGAATTAGCAAAATGTAAACTGTCAGATGGAATGAGCATCAGAGAATCACTGTACACAGATGGAATGTATGTGAAATAGACACCATCCCAGGGCCTGTTTAAATTCAATTATTTTTAGTTGTGCCCATTAATCAAATTCAGTTTTCTACTTGTATCAAATGATAATTAAGTACTGCTCATGCCATCAGTTATGCTGCAGTATACCCAGAACCACTGCCCAGTGCTTGGCTGATAGAGTGCCATCAGTTTCAGAGATTTACAACTTTTCCCCCTCAGTGTTTAGCTCAACTTCATCATGGTTAAACAAGACATGCTGCCACAAAATTCAGAATTAATTGAGGGTTTTCAACATTAGGCATTTTGTGGCCATTATCTTATTTAGTTTTACTTATTTACTTATTTGAAGTCATAGTTACAGAAAGGGAGAGGGGAGAGGGAGAGAGAACAAGAGAGAGAGAGAATTATCCATCCACTGGTTCACTCCCTAAATGACTTCAATGACCAGGGCTGAGCCAGGCTGAAGCCAGGAGCCAGGAACTTCATCCAGGTCTCCCACATGGATGGCAGGGGGCCAAACACTTGGGCCATCTTCTGCAGCTTTCCTAGCCACATTAGCAGGAAGCTGGATCAGAAGTAGAATAGCCATAACATGAACCAGCATCCATGTGACATGCCAACATCACAGGCAGAGGCTTTACCTGCTATGCTACATGCTGGCCCCTCCTGTTTAATCTTTCAGAAATCATCAGAGATACTGGGGACAGTGCTGTGGCATAGTAAGTAAAGCCAAACCCTGCAGTGCCGGCAACCCAGATGGGTGGTGGTTCCAATCTCAGCTGCTCCATTTCCCATCCAGCTCTTTGCTATGGCCTGGGAAAGTAGAAGAACGTGGCCCAAGTCTTTGGGCCCCTGCACTCACATGGGAGACCAGGAAGAAGCTCCTGGCTTCAGACTGGCTAAGCTCCAGCCACAGCGACTATCTAGGAAGTGAACTAGCAGCTGGAAGACCTCTCCTCCCACCCCCCAATTCTGCCTCTGCCTCTACCTCTCTCTAACTCTGCCTTTCAAATAAATAAATCTTTAAAAAAGAAATCATCAGAGATACATATTGAATCTAGCTTAGCCGGAAAGAATCTTGGATAAATTAAACAGCTTTCTCAAGTTTTTCTGACTCCAAAACCTATGTTAAATTCTTGCCAACATTTAGTTATCCTTTTTTATTATTTATTTATTTATTTATTTGACAGGTAGAGTTATAGACAGAGAGAAAGGTCTTCCTTCCATTGGTTCACTCCCCAAGTGGCCACTATGGCCGGTGCTGCACCAGTCCGAAGCCAGGAGCCAGGAGCTTCCTCCCGGTCTCCCATGCGGGTACAGGGGCCCAAGTACTTGGGCCATCCTCCACTGCCCTCCCGGGCCACAGCAGAGAGCTGAACTGGAAGAGGAGCAACCAGGACTAAAACCCGGTGTCCATATGGGATGCCAGCGCCGCAGGCGGAGGACTAAGTGAGCCATGGCGCCGGCCCTTAGTTATCCTCAAATTAGATTTGCGGGTAAAATGGACAAAGACCTCCCCTGTTCAAAATATAACAAGGTCTGACTTTCTTAAATTCAAGCCACTGAATTAGAAAAGTTTTGCCATCTAAATATTTGTTTAGCACATTTGTCATAATAATTTAGTTTTTAAGTGAGCCAATAAACTCAAGCAGATCAATTGTGTAGACCCATGCATCTCTCTCTCACACACACACTCACACTTTCATTCACTCACACTGATGTTATTCTTTACATTGTGTAGTTATGAAGGCTTATTAATTCCAGTTTAGGCCAGCGCCACAGCTCAGTAGGCTAATCCTCCATCTTGCGGCGCTGGCACACCATGTTCTAGTCCCGGTTGGGGCACTGGATTCTGTCCTGGTTGCCCCTCTTCCAGGCCAGCTCTCTGCTGTGGCCAGGGAGTGCAGTGGAGGAGGGCCCAAGTGCTTGGGCCCTGCACCCCATGGGAGACCAGGATAAGTACCTGGCTCCTGCCATCGGATCAGTGCGGTGCGCCGGCCGTGGCGGCCATTGGAGGGTGAACCAACGGCAAAAGGAAGACCTTTCTCTCTGTCTCTCTCTCTCACTGTCCACTCTGCCTGTCAAAAAAAAATTCCAGTTTAGCAATGCAGAAGTGCCAATTGCATATATGTGGCATTTACAATGTATTCTCAGACCCATGTTTGACACCAGAGAACAAGTGAATAGTTTTTGCTTCAAGGATCTTACAATCTACTTAGAAGAACAGGATATACAATCATCAAAGTTGTAAGCAAGACCATATTCTTGGCCTAAAATTTCGCAGCTATTAAAGAGAATCAAATTATTTTTAAGCTTTGTTTATTTATTTGAAAGCGAGAGAGGAGAGGAGAGACAGAGACCAAGCTTCTGTCCGCTGGTTCACTCCCCCAGTGGCCCCAATCGTCAGCACTGGGCCAACCTGAATCCAGAAGCCATGAGCTTCATCTGGGTCTCCCATGCAAGTGGCAAGGGCCCAAAGTACTTGTGCCATCTTCTGCTACTTTCCCCAGGCCACTGGCAGGGACTGGATAAGAAATGAAGCAGCCAGGACTTGATCCAGCATGCATACGAGATGCCAGCAGTGCAGGCAGCGGCTTTACCCACTATGACACACCAGTCCTGAACCAAATGATTTTTTTAAGATTTATTTGTATTTGATTGAAAGGCAAAGTTATAGAGGGAGAAGTCTTCCATCTGCTGGTTCATTCCCCAAATGGCTATAATGGCCAGGGCTGGACCAGACCGAAGCCAGGAGCGAGAAGCTTCTTCTGAGTCTCCCACATGGGTGCAGGGGCCCAAGG